CAGAAACATTTTTCAAAGCCTTTAGAAATGTTGATTTTCTTCCTGATATCCAAAATTCTGCCAACAGTGCAATAATGTACAAAAATGGTACAAATGCAAGAAGCTTCCTTCATGCTTTGTCTTTGCTTTTTGCCAATTACAAATGAACAACTTACTGTTACTATCTATGGCGGAGTTTTAGCAAAAAGTCTCTTAATTGCTTGGAAAATTACAAAGGAAAGTTGAGTCTTTTTTAGTTTTGTTTTGTTTTTTTAAATTTTTTTTTAACTAAGACTATATTTGTAGGGCAATTTTTGTTGTTGTTCAGAGCAAAATTGAGGGGAAGGTAAAGATTTTCCATATATCTCTGACCCCCACATATGAATAACCTCCTGCATTATCAACATCCCCCATCAGAGTGGTACATTTGTTACAATTGATGGAACTACACTGACACATCATAATCACCCAAAGTTCATACTTAATGTTTTAATTCACTCTTGATGTTTGTAGATTCCTATGGATTTGGACTCAAGAGTTTTTTGTTTGTTTCTTGGTTGGTTTTTTTCCTTTAAATCAACCATACAGCTAACTACTATGCTATGCAAACTTTATGGTAAAAAAGAAAAAAAAAAAGTGTTGTTTTTCTGGCCTGAAACATACACTTAAAATCTAGGTATATTCTGTAGATTATGTTATAAATTAATGCAATGAGAATATTTGACCAACTATACAATCTGGTAAGCCAATGTTATTTATTGGAAGTATACACAAATTTTAGTCATAAATGAAATTTAACACAAGGTAAATTTACAAAATGCTTAGGTGAAGAACAGAATACAGATTATTTATGCTGTAATCAATAAAATATCAATATAATTTTCATGTTTATCATAATCATTTATTATAATTTATAATTTCACTCAAAAGTTATTTTGAAAATTAAGATATGTTTTTAAAAGACATGAATAAGAAGACTTACTACTGGTCAGTTCTTATATAATAAAACACAGACTGATCTATTAGTTTAACTGATACTTTTTAATTCTTACCAAAACGTTAGTAAATCCCAGGTCTAATACTACAGAAAGCTGGGCAAGTAAATCTGCAACTGTCAGACTATAACTCTTGGTTCCAAAGGTACGTAGTTTGTCTCTTACAACAAATTAAAATATGATTGTTCAGATTTTCAATTCTAGTTAAATGGAAAACCCAACTTTTATGTCAAATTGAAATGAAACAGGTAATAAACACAATGGAAAATAAATGTAAACACGACTCAAAAATTCATATGCTAATAATATTAAAAATGTCTTCTTAGGGGTGCCTGGGTGGCTCAGTCGGTTAAGCGTCCGACTTCGGCTCAGGTCATGGTCTCACGGTCCGTGAGTTCAAGCCCCACATCAGGCTCTGTGCTGACAGCTCAGAGCCTGGAGCCTGTTTCCGATTCTGTGTCTCCCTCTCACTCTGACCCTCCCCCATTCATGCTCTGTCTCTCTCCGTCTCAAAAACAACTAAACATTAAAAAAAATTAAAAAATAAAATAAAAATGTCTTATTAAATGTCAAGAAGTTTTTTGTTATTGTTTATAACAACCTAAGTTTTAAAAATTTTTTTAATGCTTATTTATTTTTGAGAGAGAGGGAGAACATGAGTGGGGGAGGGGCGGGGGGGGAGAGAGAGAGAGAGAGAGAGAGAGAGAGAGAGAGAGAGAGAGAGAGGCATAGAGGCATAGAGGCATAGAGGCATAGAATCAGAAGCAGGCTCCGGGCTCTGAGCTGTCACCACAGAGCCCAATGCGGGGCTTGAACTCATGAAGTGTGAGATCATGACCTGAGCCAAAAACAGCCATTTAACCAACTAAGCCACCTAGGCACCCGACCTAAGTTTTTTCTAATTTGTTTTTTTAGAAGAAGTTGAGATACTTTGAAAATAAGATAATTTTATGAAGATAAGATGTGAACATTAGAAGAGAGATCTCTCTTTTATCTAAATTTTAAAGTATGGGACCTAAAAATGCTGAAATTTTTGCATATGACTTTCATATATAGTAGTCCTATTAATATACTTCATTATTATTGATACAAAGAATTGTCTAGTTATAGTGTAAGCAACCAGTTGTCTAGCTAAGTCCATCACATCCTCCAATGAGTTTTCCTCATGAAAAATTCTAGCATACAAAAAATTATCTTGTGTTATACAGAATAACAACAAAGTTTCTATGAATGAAATTGTGTCCTCTGTTAATTATTTGTCTTGTAATATCTCTACCTAACATTAGCTGAAGTCCTGAAAAGATCTTTCAGGGACTCTGGAAGAATATGATGAAAAAGAAATATTTGTATAGCAAATAGAGGAGACAGTACAGATAACTTCTAACCAGTATATATAGAGACATTGTAGTTACTTTTTCTTCAGTTAGGAATTTAGTATTTAGCTTCTAATATATCCAAATTATAAATAACTCTTTTGGGAGTTAATTAGCTCCTCCTTCCCACTCCTACCTCCCACCCAGGGGAATTAAGGGTTAAGAATAGAAAAGGGAGGTAAAGCAGATGGCAGAAGAATAGAAGGCTTTGTGATGATACCTTGGGGAAGGAAGGAAACATGGCAGGAAATAAATCTAGCCCTTCAAATTGGATGTGCTGTCTATAGCAGGGAAGTTGCTGAGATGCATGTAAAACAGGCTGCTGCATGTGTTGACAAAAAGTTGTCATGGGAAGAAGTAAAAAGAAGTTTCAGAAACTATGCAGCTACACTAGATGTTCATTATGAACAACCAAATAAATGTCTTTCAGTTCAGCTATTCAGGTATACTGGAACCAAGGTAGGAGTTGATAATTCTAAATTGTAGAATCAAATTGGCACAGGACATCGATCAGATGCTGAAATGCAAAATTCTCTTAGTTTATAGGCAATAAAGCAGAACAAATTTGTAAATACATCATGGAATCTATGGGGAAGGAGATCCAAAAGTTTCTTGTAAACAAGAGGTGGTGGTAGAAGTTAATACTGTAATTTATATAAAAGTAATTAATACTGTTAATAGGGTAATGTAGAAGAGCGATTAATACTATTAATATGTGTTGAGTGTCATTGATATTACCTTTATCTACTATGTAGCTTTTATAGTTTTACTTTAATGAACATAAAATTTAGGGTTTTTTAACATTTCCTTCCAATTGTGATCTCCTTGACACTTCCTTTTCTATAAGATTTCTTAATATATCAATCTGCTTTTACCTTGTATGTAGATTTTCAAGAACTCTTATAGTTAGTATAGTATTCCATAAAGGAGAATTATACATGTCCTGTCCCAAGATTACCAGTAGGTACAAACTCAACCCCAATATTTACTTTCAATATCTGAATCAGTGATTTTTAAGTTATTTCATGATTCAGTGGTAGATTACAAAATCAATGTAGCAGGTCACAACTACCATTTTATAAAAGAATTAGAGTAAAAAAGTTTCAGAGTTCATTATGTATTGTCTTAGTTTGGGCTGCTATAACAAACTACCATAGACTGGGTGCTTTAAGCAAGAAACATTTTTCACATGTTTGAAGTCTGGGAAGTCAAAGATAAAGGTGTCAACAGATTCGGTGTCTGGTGAGGGCCCTCTTAGTTTGCAGATGGCTAACTTCTTACTGTGTCATCACAGCAAGTAGAGAGAGAGAGAGCACACAGAAGAGCAAGAGATCTAGCTCTCTGGTCTCTTCTTAAAAGGGCACTGATTCTATCATGAGGACTTCATAGCATCATCTAAACCTAATTACTTTCCTAATTAATTTCCCCCTTAATTGGGGGTTAGGGTTTCTGCGTATGAATTTGGGAGAAGCATAAACTTGCAGTCTATAACATATATAATCTGGGTAAAGATTATTTAGTGTGACTTCAGTTTCAGTTTTATATTCATGGATAAAGATCTCTGAATAAGTGCATTTACATCATGATGTAAAATATATTTCTTATTTTGGTTGTGGTCAGAAAAGGTTGAGAAACACCTAAATCAGTCACATCACTGTGCTGTACTGGCATAGTTGATATAGATTACTAATTCTTGATGTTGTTTTTCAGAATAAGGAATCAAAAGAAGAACAAGTGTAAGTATTTATTTAATTTTTAAATTTTTCCTAGTATTCTCAAAGTGTGTTTTGCCAGTATGACACAGCCTTGCCTTGGGAAATGTTCTGAAAGAAGAAAGTACAGTTACTTTTCTTAATAACTTGTCACTTAAGAGTAACAAAAAGTTATCATTTACTTTGGGAGAATAGAATCTCTCACCATTTTTCTGTAAGGCTACTCAAAAGTCAAAGACTAATTTGCATCCAGCATAAAATCTTCTACAATATAGTCTAGATTGTGGTTAGTCAAATCTAAATTTAAGTAAAAATTAACCTTAGAGAACAGATCAGTGTTTGTCCTAATGACCTCTTTCCAAAAAGTTTGTTTTGTTTTCGTTTGTTTAATTAACGCATAGGTGGTGGTGGTTTTTAATACCAGTTGTTTACCGTGAATTTTGAACCTACTGGAAACCTTTTAATGTCTAAAGATCACTGTGTTATACAACTATGTGACTGATGACAGTGCAGTAGTGGATGGAAGTAAGGGAGATAGTAATGAAGAGGCTCATTATACCCAACAGAAAGTTTAATTGAAAGTTGGTAACTTTGGAGAACTCACTGTGGGGACATAAATTATTAAGATATCTTTAAAATGGTAGCAAGAACAGGGGCGCCTGGGTGGCGCAGTCGGTTAAGCGTCGACTTCAGCCAGGTCATGATCTCGCGGTCTGTGAGTTCGAGCCCTGCGTTGGGCTCTGGGCTGATGGCTCAGAGCCTGGAGCCTGTTTCTGATTCTGTGTCTCCCTCTCTCTGCCCCTCCCCCGTTCATGCTCTATCTCTCTCTGTCCCAAAAATAAATAAACGTTGAAAAAAAAAAATTTAAAATGGTAGCAAGAACATATTTTAACTTGAAAGTCATCACTTGTAGTTGATATTTTCTCATTGATAATGGATGTGATCTACTTGCTAATAGTTCATCATCCAAGGATGAATATTCACTTTCTCTGTCAGTGAGTTGAGCCACTAGAGTGATAGTTTTTTGTTCTACTTTTTTCAAACCATGTCTAGAAGCCATAAAAATAACTTACTAAAGAATCATACAGTGCTATCAATCATTTTGCTTATTTTACCTATAGTGTAGACACAAACTGAATGATCATCAGATCACCCAGGGAGCTTTGTTTTTGTATGAGAATTTTCACATATACACAAAAGTAAAAATAATATATCACATTAATATGTGTACCTAATCATCCCGGTTCAACAATTACACTGTTTTTCCACATTTGCTTCACTTTTTTCCCTTAACATTTTGTTCTTTGTTGGTGTTTTCAGTCCCAAATATCATGTAATTATACCTCTACATGCTTCAGTTTGCATCTCTTACTGTAAGAACATTTTCCTATATTATTACAGTGTCATTATTAAACTTTAAACACTTAGGAATAATCTTCTATAGCTTTTCAAAAATACAGATTCATCTATGTATTTACAGTTGTCAGGATACCTGGAAAAATATAATTTTAAAAAGCTCTTCAGGTAATTTGGAAAATTGAGTTTGGGAACCAGTGGTCTACACAAGCATTTGATTTCATTGAACTTTCCAAAATGTTTGAGTCATTCTAGAATACCTCAGTGATACCTAATGAGTGTTTTATAGTGTTTTACAAGTTACTCTACAAGCATGAGATGCCATATTGTTTTCTAGGTCTCTGTGGCCTAAAAGAAGTAATAACGTATCCTAGAGTTACCGATTATCTATTCACTAATCACGTCATTTATATTGTGTTATAAGTAAAAGTACTATTTCTTGTTACCATTTAATGAGATTGGGAAGGAAATTTATAGCCACTCACTACACCAAGTTGAAAGGATAGTAGCATGCATTTACATTTTAGACATAGGTATAAAAATGAGTTAATTATCATTGCACTTATAGTATTTTCATTCTTTTTTTTTTAGTGGTTTCTAGTTACTGAAATCCATGTTACCACTACAGTTTTTTTTTTTAAGTCCTGTTACCAAAGAATCTCCATTATTTTTTTTTTTATTTTTTTTTTCAACGTTTATTTATTTTTGGGACAGAGAGAGACAGAGCATGAACGGGGGAGGGGCAGAGAGAGAGGGAGACACAGAATCGGAAACAGGCTCCAGGCTCTGAGCCATCAGCCCAGAGCCTGACGCGGGGCTCGAACTCCTGGACCACGAGATCGTGACCTGGCTGAAGTCGGAGGCTCAACCGACTGCGCCACCCAGGCGCCCCAGAATCTCCATTTTTAAATCTACTTTATGTTGATATTTGCAGCCCACTATTTAAATGTACACTGGACCTAAGCAATGAAATTGATTAAACCAACCTACTTTTCAAGAATGCTGTGATGATAAAATAATATAGCAGATGTAGAAATGCTTGTCAGTATTTCCCAAAGTATTGTTTCCCAAAGTAACTGATGTTAATAATTATAATTTGAAATATGAACTCTATGGTCTCATAATTCTTGAAAACACTAGGATGAACCGAATAGGTACCTTGATTGAGTGCTGTCTTATATATGATAAATAAATTCATTATGAATCATCAAGAGAAATACACAGTATAAGCATGGTCTAAACTTGCTTTGGCCATGAGCCCTCCTTTCTCATGAGACTAATATAATATTAATTAGGGAAACAATGGCTTAGATGAGAAACACTATACACCATTATAAAATATTACATTGATTGTCATCACTGTAGCCCAAATATGGTAGGAAAGGAAGAGCCATTGAAGAAAGAGCAAGCACATCTACACCCAGTCAGTAGATTTATGAAAGATGATGCAAGTGATATTCAAGAGGATTCTGCAACAGAAGACAAGTTCTATAGTCTGGATGAATTACATATTCTGGACATGATAGAGCAGGTAAGCCTGACTGGAGAGGGTACAGACCTGCCTTCCTTTTTCTAGAAACCATCATTAACCACTGTTAGCCTAGTGTTTTATGCTGTGCTTGTGAGGGGCAATAAAAAACAAGAAGAGAGGGTCAGAGGGATAGAGGGAAAAAGAGCCTTAGGAGCTGAAACTTTTCACTTTGGCTCTGAAACCATTTCCTGGATTTAACTATTGGGCAGTGTTGATTATAAATGCATTCCTCGCAAAAAAAACTTGGATTAATATTCATGAGAAAAATAGTTTTGTTTAAAAAAAGGTACTTGCATTTTTAAAAAATTAAACTGGTTATAGACATGAAATGTCTACAAAAATATTAACATACAACAGGTTTTTTCCCCCCTCTGGTTCCTCTCCTTGGAGCAGTCACTGCTGGGAATGACCTTCCTATATATGAAGGTACATGTGAACATGATTTAAGTGCTCAGCAGAACACTAAATCCGACAAAGCAAAAGACAGATTTTTTTTTTAGTCACTTGATTTAAATGAGAATTCTATACTAAGGTAATTTTATAACCTGTTCCATAGTACATAGGAATATTGATTGTCTAAGGGTACGGTTAGTAAAAATGATTCTCTGACTGATAGTACAACATTCATATAATTGTCATTATCTTCTTTTTACCATTGCAAATAGAATATTAGGATATTAGTATATTTTATTTGAAATGACATATTCTTAGCTTTGGATGTCAGACTAAAGTTTAAATATGAGGCCTTTGGTTTTCATTCAGTAGCTATGAGAACTCCAAAATAGAATAAAAATGTCACACACATTTTGGAAAATGTTAACGCCCTCATGTATTCAAAAAAACATTTAGCACATGCTTTTTGTCAGAGCTATGCTAAGACATTGTTCCTATGATTGTAGTGTTTACAATATGGTGGATAAGTTGAATATTGAGCTAAGGTAGTACTGAGTAATAATTAAGTGTTTGGAAATAAAGACTGCCTGAGTTGGAATTCAGGCTTCTCTACTTTCTGTGTAACCTTGGATGAGGTACTTCACAGTTTTATCATCTCTAAAATGGGAGTAAGTGTCTACCTCAGATAAACTTTACAACAATAAAAGTTACCAAAAAGTTACCAAAAAAAAAAAAAAAAAAAAAACCTTAAAAATATGGTAAGCATGCAGATAATGTTATCCACTAGTAGCAGCAGTAGACGCATACCTGTGGTACTATTTAGTGAATGCTGTAATTGGGAGAGGTGGGTTTATCTGAACTAATCACAGAAGTGATGTTTGTATTGAGACATAAGCATGAGTAGGAGTTAGATGGCAACTTTAAATCTCCTTTAAAGTCTTAGAGCTCTTTTTAGAGGAAAATAAGGCATGTGTATTCCATTTTCTCATTAGGGCTCAACCAGCAAAGTAACCACAGAATATGGAGAAACTGAGAAGGAGAAGCTTGCTCGGCAAAGGCAGCTTTATAAATTGCATTATCAGTGTGAAGTAAGTACTTTTGCCATTATATCTGAAGCAAGTCAGAGGTAGTTCAGTTGTTCAGTTCAATGGTAGTTTCTTCTTTTTTTTTTAAAGAACACATTTTCTTTTTTCTTTCAATATCTGGTGATTTGAACAGAATTAACTATGAAATAATAATTTTCATTTTCATCAGGATTTCAAAAGACAGTTGAAAACAGTGACTTTTCGGTGGCAAGAAAACCAAATGCAGATTAAGAAGAAAGACAAAATCATTTCATCTCTTAACCAACAAGTGGCTTTTGGAATCAATAAGGTTTCCAAGTAAGTGCAAATCTGTTGTTCACAGGTAATTCTGGATTTGCTCCGTAATGAATGCCATCTTTAAAAGATAATCCTTGTGTAGCCACTAGGTGGCATTGTGACTACACATTAAGAATAGCTGACTACAGGTCTGTACTTGCTTAAAAACCAACTATATATTTGTCTTGCCAGCTGCATGGAAAAATAAGCAACAGCTCACTCTGTATATCAAGCTTTACATGTATTGGCTGAACAAGTGTAATTATAATAGAATTACATGAGAAAGATAATTAACTTTCAGATCATGATTCTAATTTGTAAAAATATGACCAATGATTTGCTGTTTCTTTATAGCATATGATGAATACATTCCTCAAAGACACTGTGAAATCACTTGAATCCTTTTTTATATTGGTCTCTCAGAGTTTTTGTGTTCCAAGACTAAGAGATTGAAAATGAATCAAATGCCTGAAGATTGCTCCTTCCCAACACTCTCATTTCCCTTAACAATCTTTTTTATTTGTATGTACTTTTTTTTTAATTTTAATTTTTTTTTTTAATTTACATCCAAATTAGTTAGCATATAGTGGAACAATGATTTCAGGAGTAGATTCCTTAGTGTCCCTTACCCATTTAGCCCATCCCCCCTCCCACACCCCCTACAGTAACCCTCTGTTTGTTTGCCATATTTATGAGTCTCTTATGCTTTGTCCCCCTCCCTGTTTTTATATTCTTTTTGTTTCCCCTTCCCTTATGTTCATCTGTTTTGTCTCTTAAAGTCCTCATATGAGTGAAGTCATATGCTATTTGTCTTTCTCTGACTGACTGATTTCACTTAGCATAATACCCTCCAGT